AGGGGTGTGAGGGGTGTGAAGGGATGTGAAGGGGTGTGAAGGGGTGTGAGGGGTGTGAGGGGGTGTGAGGGGGCGTGAGGGGTGTCTGTTGTGTGCAGGATGGCATGATGGACATTTGTCCTGGGTACACTTTCTTCCTTCTGGGCCACAAGGAAATCTCCCTTCATCTTTCAACTTTCAAATCTCCTTTCCCCTGTGTCATTTCCCTCGGAGGGACTGCAGTGACTTCTAATAGAACACAGAATCTTACATTGCTGACAAAGCCACCCACATGTCCCATGACAGCCTTTTGTGAACAACAAACTACTGGTCCTGCAGCTAAATTCACTTTTAAAAACAGAAGTTTGGAACTTCTCCAAGCAACAGCTGTTTTTATTGGGGACCAATGGAGTCATTTCTGGAGCTACGGGGCCACCCTGTGGCTAAGTGTCCAAAAATGAAGTTCAGGATTTTTAACCCCATATACTTCCGCACTTAATCTTTTTCATCCAAAGAACAGTTAGGAAGAGCAGGACAAAATTAGCCAGATTTCTGCTCGAAATGGTCCATTGGCCTTCCCGGCTGGAATATTTAGGCCCAAAATGCAAATATTTAGGCCCGTTCCAGAACCTAAAGCTGAACCAGAACCTTTAGCAATAGGACCAACCATCTGAGTTTTAATAAGCCTTCCCAGGTAAAGGCTTTCAAACAATTGGATAAAATAGCATCTCCCTGAGCTGGGCTAGCATAATAGTTTATACTAATAGTTATTGGTTATAATTATTATAGATCTCATTCATTCATACATACAGAAACTATTGTACTTCATTTATTCAGCAAATATTTATAGTGTGTTTAAAGAAAAGAAAACATAATTTGAGCAAAGTAGCTGAGGGGGAGAGGGAGGGAAGGAGTTCCAAGAGGCCGGCAGGGGGCAGGTTGGGTAGACAACTAGACCATGATGAGGACAGGTGTGTCATAGGAGCCACTGGAGGGTACTGAGCACGGAAGAGACATGATAAGACTGTCTTCTTACAACTGGCCCCGCTAAAAAATAGTGAACAGACAGTGGTGGAAGTAGGAGACCAGATAAGAGCTAACACAAGGCTAAGGAGAGGGAGCATAGTGATTTGGATTGGATGCAGCAGTGGATATGCTGAGATGGCTGGATTCCAGATGGATTCTGAAGGTAATGCAAAGGTAACCAATAGGATTTATGAATGGATGGAATGCCACATGATGAGATGGATGAGATTGAATACCATTCTGGAGGAATCTAGGAAGACTCTAAGCTTTTATGCCTGAGCAAAACTATAGTTAATGAGAAATAATTGATTGCCGACCAAAGACACACTTAGGATGTGTCTCATAGGTAAGGTAAAGAGCAAATGTTTTAGTTGGAAAGACCATTTAAATGAAGATTATGGATTTTTTTCCTTCCACGTAATTTATTTAATTCTTTACTTTAGTAAAAATATTTCACCTGGCCAGCCAGTGTGCTCAGTGGTTGAGCATGAACCAAGAGGTCCCCAGTTTGATTCTCAGTCAAGGCACATGCCCAGGTTGTGGGCTAGATCCCTGGTGGGGGTGGAGAGTATGGGAGGCAGCTGATCAATGACATTTCTATCTCTCTATCCCTCTTCCTTCCTCTCTCTCTCTAAAAATCAATAAAAAAATTTTAAAATATATTTTATCTGCTTTTATAAAAATGTGTTTTAGCCCTGGCTGGGTAGCTCAGTTAGTCAAAGTGTCATCCCATACATCAAAAGGTTGGGGGTTCGATTCCCCATCAGGGCACATACCTAGGTTTGGGGTTCAATCCCCAGTTAGTGTGTGTTCGGTGGCAACTGATCAATGTTTATCTCTCCTCTCTCTCTCTCTTAAAAAAAATCAGTGAACATATCCTTCGATGAAGATTTTTTTAAAGTGTTTTGCTTTCAACAAGTACCTTGGAATTTCACAGCTAATACTTTTATACACTGATATCTACAACGAAGGTAGGGGTTGTACTTAAGCTAATCAAGGGCTATTCTTCATAATAGAAGTAGTAACAGAACTCCTTTATCAGTTTGCTACTTTTGTTCTTCCTGTGGTATAATTAGCAGCAATTATGTGTGCCTGCAAATATACCTGTTAGTATTTAATAAAGCCATAACCCCCATTTAATTCAGCAGCCAGACTCCTGGCAGCCTCAACCTTTTGGAACTCAGGCATGAATTACCAAACTACACTCAGCAGCTTAAGTGATGTGTCTAAAATTAAGGTTAATGATTTAATAAGCTTAATTATTTTATTTCCTCTGGCTACCTTCCATTTTTCCCTGGTTTAACCCAATTCACTAAATGGTTGTTGAGTGCTTACTGTGTTGGGGCACCCTGTTAGACTGTGATGAAGGTTGTAAAAGGATAGCAGTGAGCAAATTACAATGATGTACATGGAACAGGTTGGGGGAAGGGGGGCCAAGCCTATATGGGAATGGCAAAAAGAAGGAGGAAATAGGAAGATCACTAGATAGAACAAAAGAATAAAAGTCTCAGAGCTTTGAATTACACTAATAACACCAGACAATTAAATTGTCCCCCACCTCCACCCCCACCCCAAGGCTTGCCCTAGCCAGTTTGGCTCAGTGGATAGAGCATCGGCCTGTGGACTGAAGGATCCCGGGTTCAATTCTGATCAAGGGCACATGCCCCAGTTGTGGGCTTGACCCCCAGTAGGGGGCATGCAGGAGGCAGCCGATCAATGATGCTCTCATCATTGATGTTTCTATCTCTCTCTCCCTCTCCCTTCCTCTCTGAAATCAATAAAAATATATTCAAAATGATAAATTGCCCCCCAGGCTGGATTACAGACTGCACAATGCCTGAGGTTTCTCAACAATGACTTGAAGTAATAAAATTGCCAAAAAAAAAATTGTAAAAATTAATTTCCTGTAACAGGAAACAATATAAAACATTTACAAAAAGCTTAATAAAAACAATTAGCATTTACCTTAAAAGGGTCATTTTTGGTTGTCTGAATGATGAATTAAATCTAGACTATCTAATTTCCATAAGAATTAATAGGATATTATTATAAATGTGCCTGGAAAGTTCTATTCAGTTACATTAAGGAAGAATTTGAAAACTGAGTGTTGACTGCCCTGCTAGTCTTTGGGTCTTTTTATATTAATGAGCTATGCTGGAGATGTGAGGCTGGGCATAGAGGGAATAATTGCTAAAATTTTATTGTTGCTACTTTGTTAACCACAGGGTTAGACCTCAGTTCTTGAGTTCAGCTAAGAAAGAATTCACAGCCAAGAACTCTGGCACATGAAGTGTATTTAGAAAGTCACAGAGGTAGAAAAAGTGGGCCAGCTAGGTTGCATGGACTCAAGACACAAGTTACAGAGGCAAAGGAAGGGTCCTTGGAGCTTAGGAAAAATAAAGCAAAGATAGCGGCCTAAGGGAAGAAGTGGGGGGAGTGGCACAGCATGCTCTAGAGCAGTGGTTCTCAACCTTCCTAACGCCGCGACCCTTTAATACAGTTCCTCATGTTGTGGTGACCCCCAATTTCATTGTTACAAATTGAACACAATTAAAGCATAGTGATTACTCACAAAAACAATATGTAATTATATATGTGTTTTCCGATGGTCTTAGGCGACCCCTGGGAAAGGGTCGTTCGACCCCCAAAGGGGTCTCGACCCACAGGTTGAGAACCGCTGCTCTAGAGAGAGTATGCACTGGATTCTTTGTCTTAAGGGTTTTTATGTATTTTCCAAAGGCAGGGATCTTAGGGGCAGTCTCAGGAGAGGATCTCAATGGAATAGTCATTAGCTTTCCAGGCGTGTCCCTTCAGGGTCCTGGTCTCTACTGATTGGTTGGTGCGAAGGTCATTAGTCATTGCATCTGATCCTGATGTCAGCTATGGCATCTCTTCATCTGGGCTTTTCTGAGCCTAGAGCTGAAACACAACTGAGGTCTAGATGCTGTTTCCAGTTTGACCAAAACCCTGTCTCTGTGGTCAACAGGCCTTGTTCCTAAGATTATCTGATGCTGGTCATTGTCCTGGGGACTTAATGTTTAATTAAGGGAGTGGTTGTGCAAAGGCTTGTAGGGGAGTCCTATGAGGCCATTCTCCTCTATGGGGGTCTAAACTGCATGGCTAGTGACATGGTAGGGGAGGAAGGGTGACCCTGGGGGTGAGGGCCTTGCCTATAGCAGTTGTTTTCTCTAGTTTTGCTTGTTGCTAGGCACCCGGAACACTCCGCCCTGACATTCCGCCCTGGTGACATTCCGTGCCTGTCCTATTGTTGCTGTTCTGCTCAGGCCTGTCTAAATGCCTACTCTGTCACCTTCACATTCTTTTTTTAACCTTTCTATTATGGAAAACCTCAAATACACACTAAAGTAAACCAAATAGCATAAAGAACCTTTATGTGTTCATCACACACTGACCATCCCATTTCATCTATACCCACCCACATCCCACTCCTGCATTATTTTGAAGCATATCCAAGACAGCATAGAGCAGCAGTTCTCAACCTGTGGGTCGCGACCATCGGAAAACACATATAGCATATCAGATATTTACATTACGATTCATAACAGTAGCAACATTACAGGTATGAAGTAGCAACGAAAATAATTTTGTAGTTGGGGGTCACCACAACATGAGGGACTGTATTAAAGGGTCGCGGCATTAGGAAGGTTGAGAACCACTGGCATAGAGTTTTATTTATAACTATTTTAGTATATATCTCTAACAGATAAGAACTCAAGTTAGCCTGGCCAGTGTGGCTCAGTGGTTGAGCATCGACCTATGAATCAGGAGGTTCAATTTCCTGTCGGGGCATATGCCCAGGCTAGATCCCCAGTGTGGGGCTTGCGGGAGGCAGCTGATGAATGATTCTCATCATTGAAGTTTCTATCTCTCTCTACCTCTTCCTTCCTCTTTGAAATTAATAAAAATTTATTTAAAAACACTCAAAGTTATAACTTTTTGAAGGTTTATTTGAATTAGGATCAATATCAACTCCACATGGCAATTGACTGATACGTCTCTTTACCCCTATGTCCCCCACCCCTACAACCCTGCCCTATTAAAGTTTTTTCATTGAAATTAATTTGTTGAATACGGAAGAGTATTTAGCCGGGAGTTTCCCACAGTCTGGATTTTGCTGACTACAACTCTATGATGGCATCATTTCATGTGTTTCTCTTTCCTTTCCTTTGAATTTCTTATGATTTGGTTGTTGAAATTAGAGGCTCGTTCAGATTTGGGTTCAATTTTTTTGCAAGAATGCTTCCTGGGGAGCGGTGTGTTCCTCTAGCACAGTGGTTCTCAACCTACTGTTATGAATCGTAATGTAAATATCTGATATGCAGGATGGTCTTAGGCGACCCCTGTGAAAGGGTCGTTCGACTGCCAAAGGGATCGCGACCCACAGGTTGAGAACCGCTGCTAACAGGCGGCTCTTCATGTCTACTTGTTTCTCATTTTGCGATGACAGCAGGTGCTGATACTCCACACCTAGATCCTTTAAAACATGCGGGCTTATCAAATGGTGATCGTCTGATTCCATTACTCCTCATACGGCACTTAAAGAGGATGCCTTTCATTTTACTATTTGGTTAGTGAGTGGTACAGTTTTTACAGAAAAATCAAATGCTTGAGTCTTTTTGTTTGTTTGCCAGCTTTCAAAATACTGAGTTGACTTGAAATGTATTTGATGTGTTTTGATCCACTGCAGTTTTTATTCTTATTGATGCTGAAATGATCCCATTTTTGGCAAGTGGCAGGCTCCTCACGTTGGCTCCTGAGCCCTCTTGGTATGACCCAAGCCATCTCTGAAAGCTTCCTTAATCTCTAGTATGACATCTTCTAGGCTCCTCTCATATATTTCCCGGAGCCAACAATTTCTCTAAGAACTGCTGGCTCCTTTCAGTGGGAAAAGGTACTTTGAGATGTATTAATCATGTCATTCTCTGATGTTTTGACATCTTGCGGAGCCTTGCTGACTGGAAGGAGACTGCCCCTCCCAGGTTGTGCTAATTCCTAAAAATAATAACTTACCTGCCAACACACCTTTCGTTCGCAAACCAACCAATCCCAAGATCATACCCCCAACCACCTCCTTTATCTCACTCTCACATACCAAGCCCATGTTCCCACTGCCCTAAATCAACCCAGGGCCAGATAGCAGATAACTAGGACCCACCCCTATGGGCCAGAGCCCGCCGACATGATTCAGACGATCCAGACATAAACTATGAACCCTGCCCAGCGTTGCCTTTCCCACAGAAACACAATAAAGTACCTGCACCGTGCTTCTCCTCACTCTTCCTGCCTCCTAATGGGATCTGTGCTCCCTCATGGCGCTGCATGGTGTGGCATTCTCCTTTGCTCAGGAAATGTAGGTAATAAGTCTTCTATGCCATCACTCAGTCGCCTCTATAAATTAATACATTTTAATGCATGTGTCCACAATCTGGAGTTCAGGAATGCTCGTTGCTACATGGTTGGTCATTACTTCTAGTCCTTTTCCATGGACAGAGCCGGGAAATACATTCTGAACTCAGACTGAAAGTTCTCATTCAAAATCAGGATTATGGGAATTTTACTTGCTCTCTTCCCTCTTACCTCCACATCTCCTTCCTCCCACGCTGACAATCCTGCTTTTCATTTACTTTGGGAATGACAGGATGACAATGTCATCATGTGTTTTGCTTTATCATACCACAGTAAACACACAGCAACCTCAGAAAGGCAATTCTGCCAGCAAAATTATGGTTATTTTACACAGTGCAATGCTTTTATGTTGGCAGTTCCCTTTGTCCTCAAGGTATATCCACCAGAGATGTATACTCAAATGACTATTTTACAGTCACTTATAAGAGTTCCTTCTCTGGGTAGTTATCCCCAAAACTGGTTTGTTTGTTTTGTTTTATTTTTTATTTTTAGGGATGGCTTTACATTTTTTGAATGTTATTTTATAATTATGTAAACTACTTCCATGGTCAAATCTACAAATGAAGGTATGTTCAAAGCAGTCTGGCTCCCGTCCCTGTCCTCATCATAAGTGTTTATATTTATAAATTAAATATTTATATTTAATATGGCTGCATACTCTAGCCACTGTTCTCTACCTTGTTTTTCTCCCTTCACAGTGCATACTAGAGATCACTCTACGACAGCATTTAGAGATACTCTTCATTCCTTTGACCTGGATAGCTGCCAACTGCGATGGAGGGCCTGGTTTACGGATGTGCCAGGGCCTGTGCTAAGCGGTTACACAGATAATCCCATTTAATCCTCAGAACAACCCAGAGAGGGTGGCACTACTGTAATTGCCATTTTACAAATGAGAAATGAAGGTTAAGTAATTTGTCCAATCTCAACCCCCTTGAAAAGCAGTGAATAATCTTTTGAGATAGAGGAAATGGATACGTTTTATGTCTACATTATGCATATTATTTTTAACCTTTAGTGAGACATAGAGCTAGAGAAACGGTTTATGCCAGTTTCTTAGGAGACATCAGTGTCCCAGAATACTCAGAAGCCCTGTCCGGTTGGTAAACAAGGGCTCATGAAGAAGTCTCTGTGAAGCAGAGAGCTAATCGAGCAGGCAGGAAATTAAAATAGACACATAAAGTAACGTGAAACCCATCTTTAAAATCTATCCTAGCCTGGCTGGTATGCCTCGGTTGGTAGAGCACTGTCCCATGCATGGAGAGGTCATCAGTTCAATTCCTGGTTTTCAGATTTCATCCTCAGTAGGGAGCATGCAGGAGGCAGCTGATCAATGTTTCTCTCTCTCTACCTCTCCCTTCATCGCTCTAAAATCAATAAAGACATTGGGGGGGGGAGGGCTATTCTATCACGTGGAAAATATACTGTGTAGACTAACTATATAAATGATATAAAAGGTAACTTGGAATCAGTGAGAAATCAAAGTAGGTGTAACATCCCAAAAGTCATGTGGGGATTATAGGTTCTTTGGACAGAAAAGCAGAGACATGTCTACTGACGTGCTCCATCCCTTTCTCCATTTTGTGGTTCGTTGTTTGCTTGTTTGTTGGTTAGTTTGTTTTTCTCACAACAGAGTCTCTTCCTGCATCAGCTGCTGCGTGCCCCTTCCCAGGGCAGGTGGACAGGTTCAAGAAAAGGGAATGAGTGGCCGGTGGGCTGGGATGACTCCCCAGAAGATATCTAGCCCACGCCTTATAATGTTTTGCATTCTCGTTACTTGTATGCTTATTTTTACCTTTTTAAAAAGACTGTGACTTCATTTAACCTTTACTACTTTCTTATTCCAAATACAGCCACACTGGGGGTTAGGGCCTCAACATATGGATTTAGGGAGGGGACACACAAACATTCCATTTATACTAGTGTAATGCTGATAACAGTGTAATTCTTGTTAATAAGAAATTTTCTTTTCTCTAGATTAAGGAGGTTTACTGTGCCCCAACACTCTGCAAGGAAGATCTGTGCCTTCAGCCACACATTCCCTTTTCAACTGTTTCAATGTCCTCATTTCCTTTTAAGTGGCAGGTGGGGAAGAGAGTTTACGTCACCAAGAAATCGTTTGAATTCTGTTAAATGTTCCCTTTTTTCTAAGTCCACTTTCAGAAATAGAAAAGTGCTTCTCGCTCTCAGGAAACCCAGTGTGCAGTTCACTCTGCACCTAGTCCAGCGGTTCTCAACCTGTGGGTCACGACCCCTTTGGGGGTCAAACGACCCTTTCACAGGGGCTGCCTAAGACCATCGGAAAACACATATATAATTACATACTATTTTTGTGATTCATCACTATGCTTTAATTATGTTCAATTTGTAACAATGAAAGTACATCCTGCATATCAGATATTTACATTACAACTCGTAACAGTAGCAAAATTACAGTTATGAAGTAGCAACGAAAATAATTTTATGGTTGGGGGTCACCACAACATGAGGCACTGTATGAAAGGGTCGCAGCATTAGGAAGGTTGAGAACCACTGACCTAGTCAGCTATCTCAGTGACCATCTGGAAAGAAAACTTCCCTGACCAGGTCAAAGCTAAAACCCTCTGGTAGGAAAGAAACTGACTCCCTCCCCAAAACGGCAGCCCCCAC